TGACACAGAGTATGACTGGATCACTCGCTAGTGTCATTCACTAGCATAAGTTAATCCAAATGATAAGAGGAAAAATAATTCCAGCAAGTAGTTCTACACAGGATGTCAACTAAAACTTGCAAACAACAATCTCTTACATGAGCAGTTTTAACACTAAACAAAAGGCAACAACCGATGGTTACCAGAGTACCAGCATTTTCTTGGACTAGAAAGCCAGCTTTGCGTTAAACTAGAGGTGGGTATTGCTTGGCCTGCTGCCGAACCCTTTTCTTGTACTCAGTGGCATCCTGCCCAAAGTCGAATTGCAGAGTGTAAGAACAAAAACTCAAGCAAAGCAAGGGTAAATTAATTCTTGTTTAACTCATAAGTGGTGGTCACTTCTCCACACTCAATCCTATTCTCATATGTATAGCCACCAACAGATAGCACAGCAATGGCACCCTAAAGTTGCAGTCACTCAGGGTGAGTTCTGATGCTAATTGCCACTGCCAGGATTAATGACGCTAGATGTGACTTTACTGGACGTCCCAATAATATGCCATCACCTCAGAAAATGTGGGAATGCAACCTTCAGAGTTTGCAAGATGTATACTGCATTATACTAGCTTTACATTCATTAAAGAAACAACAGAGCCTTCCCTCCAAATTTGCAGAGCAATGGGGAAACAAAAAGTTGCTAAGGAGCAACATACCTGAATGAAGAGGTGATACCCTTCTGTCTGTGCAGGATCAGCAGGATTTGGCTGATCCAGTAAATCCTGAATGCCCACAAGAATTTGCTTCACGGTTATTGCTGGTCTCCAACCCTACATATAAAACAAAGAATGCTAAGTATCATGGGATAAAAAGCTCACTAATTCTCCATGCCAAAGAAGTTGCTATATGTAGAAAACTTAAACAAACAGAAGGTACTCACACTGTCCTCATTAAGAATTGATAGACAAACAGTTCCAGATGGGTATACATTTGGGTGGAAGAAACCTGGTGGGAATTTACACTTTGGAGGCTTGCTAGGGTAGTCTTCACTGAAGTGAAGGGTAAGTGGGAAAAAACCCCCCTCCCAGTCAGTCTGCAACATAATATTAGTAAGAAATGTTAATGCCAATAGAAAACATTACATTTTATGAAAGCCTCTTTATTTCTTCTAATTTATCCACTCTAAATATAGTAAAGGCATGCTGCTGTTGATAAATAACCATATAATGCTCACATTGCCTGATATAAAAATCTTTTTTTTTTGGGTAAATTTCCCTGAAGTACAAACCCTTCAAATAAATACCCCATATACATAATTAACACAAACGATGTTGAATGGACATGAAAACAAAAACCAAAACGCATAAATTTGAAAAGCAAAAACTACGACAGAAGGAGATAAAGACACTACAGATAATAGAAAAAAAAACCCCAAAAGAAGGCCATTCCTGCTGAGTCTTCCACTAAAATCAACACAAGCTTCTGCATTATGGTACAAAATGTCAGAAGCTACATACACCAAAAAAATACAAAATTATTCCATCTCTCTAGATAAAAAAAAAACCTCGATTCCAAAAGGTAAGGTATGGTATGTAATAACAAACTTTCGAGTATGAAATGGCTCTGGTTTTTTTTTTTTTTTTTT